TGGATAAAAGTCTAAGCATACAATTTGCTCCTTTAAAATGGACTCAGATGGGGCCAGGGAAATGGCTCAGTGGAATAAGCGCTTCCCTGGCAAGCGTTCCGCAAAAAATAAATAAATAAATAAAATGGACTCAGATTCAATCCCTGGTTCCACAAATAAAATAAAATAAAATAAAATAAAATAAAATAAAATAAAATAAAATAAAATAAAATGGACTCAGAGTCTGTGAATTGGAAAGTGCTTTGCTACTTCTTCCTCATACTGCACAGGTCTAGGTTATGGCTCCTGGAGCAGCAGGTTAGATTGACCCTTCATTCCCACAGCAATGCTTCAATAACTGAAAGACAGCTCTCCTATACCTCTCCTAAATTCTCTACAAACTGAATCTCATTTTTTTCAACTTTCATTCAAATGACAAAGAACAAGTGGTACTGGTTACCTCCTCCAGGAACCATCCAGTTCATTCAAGAACATTCTAGAATGCTGCATTTAGAACACAAGGTATTACTTATGATTCATGATAGGTGTGGTCTGAAGTGTAATGGAACCATTATGTCTCTTAAACTGTACATTGCACTTTCATTAATTTGATCTTTTGGTAGAGTTCATACTGTTGTACTTAGTCAAATACATATTACAGAATGCTTTCTGGCTCTGGGTCTTTTTTCTCTCTAAGATTAAAGCATGAGGAACAGGAATGAGAGTCTTGGAGGTGAAAAATACAAACTTAGTGTTCTGAAACATGGCTGAATATTCTCAATGCATTGCTGTTCCACAGCTATCCCACAGTCATAGGAGAAGAAAGAGAAAGAAGAGGAAAGGGGGAAAAATAAAATTTTGGCAAGAATATTCTAGGAAACCAAACCACTGTCCTCTTATTCATTTTAAAAGATGGGTTTGGTTTTATATGTTAAGCCAAATAAGTCTCTTGTGATTGTGGACTCACTGTAGGTCTTTAAGCAGTGGTTGGTGAAGTTTAAGCTCTTATATTGGTAAGCTCACCACAGACAGGGCATTCATTCTGTACACGCTGATGGAGGGCCTGTGACAGGGCCAGTCAAAGTCATTTCATACTCCAGGAGACTCACTCCGAGGGGACTTTTAAGTATTTCTGCTCACATGTTTAACACCTGACTCACTGCTGCACAAACTGGAGGACTAAATAACCTCTCAACAGGGCCAGCTTCAGTAGGAACTGCAGGAGAAAGGGAACCCAAAAGGTGCACGGAAAGCTATGGACTTTCGGAAGAATATGTTCAGGAAGAGCACATGAAGTGTAAAAGTCTCCTGCGCTCTAATGGAGAAAGAATAATTATTCTATAAATGCCTTATTAATCTGCAGAGGTAAACTGAAAATGAAAATAAAAAATAATTTCCATCAATGATTTATCATTAATGTGGGGAGGTAAGCTACAAATGAAAATATTAAGATATTTTAACAAATAACACAACAGCATTATCTAAAATCTGTCTCAGGAAACATGTGGCTTTAGTACCTGCAGCAGGGTTTAACAAAAATTGGCCTGGGTTGGACAGGAAAGCTCTTGTGGACAAATGAAATATGAAGAGGACCTGGAAGGACCATCATGCACTAGAGAAGCAGAAACTGGAAGAAGAGCATCCCAGAGGACAGAGGCATGAACATGAATGAGAAGAGAGGAAAGCCAAATCTGTGACTCTGGAAAGCCAACCCAGTACCTACTGGTGCTCTGAACTCTCACTGGCAGGAGATAGGAAGAGATGGCAGAAAAGGGCTGAGGGATGAGGCTTGCTGACAAGGAGGCTGGCTTGTCTTGGATGCTTCTTACCTTTTACAACACATCACCATCCCCAAAAAGGCCTTTAACTCCCCATATGTATTCCAAAACAATGTCAGAGAGGAATCTGGGGCACAGTGCTTTAGAAACCATCATTACTGGGTATGAGTAGACAGGAGAATTGAAGGTAAATGCAGATGAGGACATGGTGGGCAGATGCAAGGCCCTGGGAACACATGGAGTGAGACACATGTAGCACTGCCTCCAGGACCCTCACTTACCAGCTTGCTTTTGACCAACTTTTCTATTGCACTGACAAGGTCTGCAGCAGTAGGTACTTCAGTGGAAGCCTGCCGGGCTGCTAACAAAGAGGAGGACTGCAAGACAGCGGGAAGCAAAGGAAAAGCAGATTAGCAAGGAATGAGGAACAGCAGTTAGGAAGCAAAGCAGAAGGTCTATAGTCCAAGGCCAGCACGGGAAGAAAAGCTCTGTGTTTGAAGGGAAGAGATAACAGGGAAATGAGGGGTAGTGGGGTACAGACAGGCCTGCCTCACCTTGTCAGGAATTCTGGCCAGCAGCAAGGCATGGATGGGACTGGGCTCTCCAGAGGCCTCCAAAGGAGTGGAGGAAAAGGGTAACCAAGTCCCTGGGAGGCCACAGGCAAGGGCTACACTTACTGGCAGGGGCGACAACTCTGAGGGCCAAAAGGACTTTAGCCACTGCATAGCTGCCCACTGCTGTTCCAGGGTCTGAAGGGAATCAATAAATAGCCTCAAATGTGTTCAGAGAAGATAAAGTCATGGCTTTCCTGCAGTCTTATATGTGGATCTTTGCTGTGTGCCAAGCAGAAATGCTAAGGGCAGGGCTCTCAGAGACCAGCAAGTTAGATACCGCTACCATATTTTCTCCCTTCTGTGCTGGGGATTACAGGCATGTACCACCATGCCTACTGGTTGCTTGTTTTTTTTTTTTTCCTCCATCCACCCAAGGAGAACCTGGGGCACAGGTGGGTAGTCCTATATGCACACACTTTAGCCAGCATGTCAAAGCAGAAAACAACTGTTAAGGTCCGGGGGCATTGACCTTTCACTGACTTCAAGTTTCTCCTCTGGGTTAGGGAGTTTCAGAAGGAAGCTCCCTGTCTAACCTAAGAATTACCAAGTCTTTGCTTCTGAGACATTAGGGAATCAAATCAAGGCAATTACAAAAGATTTAACAATGTCTTTTTCCTCTTCTGGGGGATATAGGAAAACCAAGTTATCATTTTTATCTATTAATCCTATTCCTGAGCACTTATGCCAACAGAGGAATAAATGCTATATGTACACAGTGATTATTCAGAATAGCAAAGACTAGACATACTCCATTAAGATGTCCTATGAAGGTGCTAGCCAAGTAAGTGATATATTCTCCAGCTGTTAAAGTCATAGTTATAAAGGAAAAATGAATAACATTCTAGGAAATGACAGTAAAAGCACTGAACACACCACATGAATACTGTAATCATAATACATTTGAACAAAGATTATAAGAAAACATGGAAAATTAAAATACAAAAATACAGTGGATGAACTTTAAAAATTTCCTTTACATTCTTATCAAAGTTTTCATAAATTCAGTTGTATTTGCTAGAAGTGCTGAAGTTCACCTCAATTCCAAATATTCCAGAAAACAAATGTATAGAAATCAAATAAATAGATCTGAGGGATATTAAGTATCTAAAAATGGACTGCTGTCACTTGCCCTATTTCTGGCTAAGAAAAGGGCCATGCAAATGTCAGGGTAAGTCTGTGTTCTCAGTTAAAAATTATCTAGAAACAACATAATATCCATTTCCCCCAAACAAGCTGTGTTTGAGGGAGTTAGAGGAAGAGGGTTTGTGACCTTTCCTTATCTTACTCACACTGTGTGGAATGGAAGATAAGACAGGAGAGTCCTCTCCCCACGAAAGCCCTCACCCCACATATACTCACACTGTTTATGGAACGTTTTACTAGGTAAGACCTATGGCAGTCACAGCAGGCTGGTTCTCATTCCCATCCTAAGGTGAAATATAGGCATCCACCTCTGAGAATCCAGGATGGGCTCAATGGCATGCTGCCTGCCACTTTTCTTCCCATGAGTCCAAGGTCAGAAGGCTGGCCCAGGAAGCCAGAGTCAACAACACCACTTTAGGAGGCGGGTTCATCCCATAGAGGGGTTCCATATCTTACCTCTAAATTGTTCTTCTAGCTAGGAAGACCTCATTGCTATGGGTTAACAAACAATGGCATAGCAGACAGAAGATAAATAAGAAGTGCAGAGTCACTAGCAAGGCCGGTGCATCTGCAGACAGCTTTTGAACTGCACCTAGGTGGCCCTGTGAAGGTACATTTCCTCCCTACACATGCTTGGTGGTTGCTGCCCAAGAGCAGAGGCAGCAACCACCACCACTACTGCATGCTCTGAAAGCAAATGTGAAGGACAAACAAACATTGAAACCACTGTTGTACCCTGAGTCACAGCCACACTAGGAGAAGGCTAGGAAGGCACAATGGAGTGAAGGAGGACCAAGGATAAAGAATAGTCAAAACAGGCCTGTGTCCTGGGTCAGAACCTGCAAGTCAAATACCATCAGGTCAGTGCTGTCCAAGTTGAGTTTGTGCTCCAGAACAACTGAGATGACTACCAGGTAATTATAGCAGTGGTGGCCAGGGACATTTCAGACTTCAGTGAGTCAGGGAATTTTGCAAAACAAATTGGCACAACCTCCCCTTAGCAGCATCTCCACCCTGTGTGCTATACTTGCAGAATTTTAACAATACTGGGCTTGGCTAGAAGACATCATGATCAAATCTGTGAGTTGAGCACAGGGAAGACAACCAAAATATAGGATGTACCATCAGGTACAACATACTGGTCACCACCTGGAACCACTATAGATTCCTATATGAGACGGAGTTCTTTTTAGAATCTGCTACTTCCAAAGACACAGCTACAACCCTTTATTAACAAGATGAGATCCCAGCCAGATTCCTACTGTAAGAATTCTATCCACACCATTATACTGCCCAAATGAGATCAGACCTCCAGGATGGGAGCAGGGTGGGAAGATACCCACCAAACACAGAGTTCTCATCACTATGGATTTACATGGGCTCAGACCAAAGCAGGAAGAGTGGCCCCCCAGCCCCAGCATCACACGGGAAATAAAATCTCATATGCTACACACTGCTCTTTCTGGTGAGAGAGCAGAGGTCCTACCATCTCGTCCTGGGTGGGGTCATTGTCAAAGATCTTCATCGGTGGAGGGAGGGGAGTGTGTGACTCTTCATCTGGCTCATCTTCACCCCAACCTTTCTTGCTCTTCTAGAACAAAAGAGCAGCATTAGTCACTGTTTCACATAGATTCCAATGGCTTAGAACTCGACATTTAAAAATACTGTACACGAGGAAGTTTCTCGTTCAGCATATCCCATCTTTTCAGCTGCATTTCCCTCCTCTGTAATGCGGACATATTTGTCTATTTCGCAGGATAATGAGCACCAAATACACACACACACACACACACACACACACACACCACCACCACCACCACCAACAACAACAACAACAACAACAAAAACCTATCTACTGATTAGAAAGGAAAACAGCTAAGTGGCCAGAGACTATAACGTCTCTGAAGGGTAATTAAGTCATAAACTATGCTTTGCTATTTCCAGAGAGAAACAGGTCAGATGGCATAAAATTACAACAAAAGAGTTTGGTTGCACATCAGGAAAAATTTCTAAGCTTTAACAATTTCTAAGTTTCATCTAAGCCCAATTATAATAGGTTAGTCATCAGATAAAGCAGGAATCTCATCCTTAACTGAAAGATATATTACATATTTTTGTTTATTTGTGTGTCCCTGTGTAATTCAAGTTGGCTTTGAACTTATTTTTTAGCCCAGGCTGGCTTCAAACTGGCCTCAGTCCTCCTGCCTCAACCTCCCAAGTGCTGGGATTAGAGGCGTGCACCCCCACACCCTGCCTACCCACATGTTTTGAGTATAGAATCTCAACCTTGTGAGCCTCCAGGAACCTGACTTTCCCCTCTGCAGTGACCCAGAACTGACACTTGTCTTGAGCAATGAGAAGTGATGTTTTCTGACATGGAGTAAAATGGCCTTCACTGTATCATTCTTAGCTTAAACAGGTCTGGCCAGTTTGACACAGTTCTTGAAGGAGGCAAGGGACCAACTATGTCCCCTCAGGCCAGGCTCCTATCTCCAAAACTGGCAAAGTCATTTCGGTCTGCTGGATACTTTCACTCCCTGAATGTGTCACACGAACCAAACTGTCCAACTTTTGATAATAAAAAAAACTCAAACCAGAGAATAAAAAGACTCAAACCAAAGAGGCTCCAGATGCCAAACTTCTGGAGACTGATTCAGGCTATCAGTAATGGCGAACCTTTTAGAGCTTTCAACGATACAAACAGCCTGCTGCAGCATGTATGGCATAGGTTCACATCCACTGGGTAGATTACAGAACTGTGAAAGAAGAACGTAAGCAGTCCCTTGTAGACAGAAGGCCTGGGGGCCTGCCAAGTACCTCATCAGCACTGTCTCCCTGCGGCGTTGTCTCATCCCCAGGCTTGGGAGATCCCAGGTCAAAGCTCTTCCGACCATCGCGTACTTTCTTCTGCTTTTTGATGTTCCCATCTGCTTTCCCACTGTTGAGCCGACGCACGGGACTTGTCAGCCACTTCTTAAGGGTGTTGGTGGAGCGCTTGGGGCCAGGGGAACTGTGAATGGAGTTGAGGGAAGGCTGGGCCTGCAAGTTGGCCACAGACTCTGACTTGCCCCCATTTTCACCAGAGGAATGAGAATATGCATCTGAGAAGGAAAAACACACAGATGTGGCCAGGTCAGAGGCAGTTAAGGCAGGCCTGGGAGTAAGACAGCTCCATCCTCAGGAGACTAGGGCACAGGCCAGAAGGTCACAATCAGCTGTCAACTCCAGTAAAGACACAGCTGTAATAGCCGATGTTCACTCAATTTCTAATATGTGAGGCACCATGGAAATGTTGTGGAAAGAGAAGACAAAACCTCCTGCCTCCGTGGAATTTATATTCTGGTAGGAAACGCATATGCTAGAATATGACAACAATATAATAACTAAATAGCATCAGAGGTAGTGAGAAAAGCTATAATGAAAAACAGCAGTGGGAGCAAAGAGGGAATACAATTAAGCAATTGGTCAGGACAAATCTCATGGCTTAGTATTTGAGCCTAGAACTAATGGTAGTGAGGGACGAACCAGGCAGAGGAGCAAATCCAGATGTCCCTGGGCAGGACCTGGGGTGTGCTAAGGTGGCTTCGATAGAGTGACCAACAGGGGAGTAGTAACAGGTGAAAAAATGGGCTTGGGAGATAGCTCATCAGCACAAGTGCCTGCCTGCCAAGTGCAAGGTCCTCAATTCAATTCTCAGTACCAAAACCAAAAAGCAAAAAATAAGAGGTCAAATGCAATAGGGACTACAATGCAGTAGTGTTTTGACCATCATCGTGCTTTTGGATTTTACCTGGAGAAAAAACCATCAAAAGTCTGAGCCAAGAGTCATGGTTTACAGTACAGTTATGGCCAAGTCCAAGAACCACACCACACACAACCAGTCCCGAAAATGGCACAGAAATGACAATAAGAAACCTCTGTCACAAAGATATGAATCTCTGAAGGGGGTAGATCCCAAGTTCATTAGGAACATACATTTTGCTAAGAAGCACAATAAGAAGGGCTTCAAGAAGATGCAAGCAAACAATGCCAAGGCCATGAGTGCATGTGCCGAGGCTATCAAGGCCCTCCTGAAGCCCAAGGAGGTCAAGGGTAAGATCATTCTAAAGGGAGTAAACTGCAGGCTCACTCTACTTGCCTATAGTGCCCACCCCAAGCTTGGAAAGTGTATCCATGCCCACATTGCCAATGGTCGCAGGCCTTGCTGGCCAAAGGCCCAGGCTCCAGCCAAGGCCCAGCCCCCAGCTTCTGCTCCAGCCCAGGCACCCAAAGGTGCCCAGGCCTCCATGAAGGCTCCACAGCAAAAGCCTCTTATCTGCTAATGTAAAAACAGAAGGACTGGTGTGACCCCTGGGGTGCCATCTGTGGGGGGCTGGTGTCTTCCTGTGCTCTTTGTACAAAGAAACCTGAGGTAGGACATGTTTAAAAAAAAAACCTAAGCCAAGATCACATAATCTGCCTCACATTTTAAAAGGTGTCTATATTATTCTGTTATCCATACTTGGGGTACTGGAAATGGAGAGCCTGGTGAGGGCGCTACCACGCTGCTCCCAATAAGAGATGCTGGCTATTGGAGGAGAGCAGAACCAGTGGTTGTAAAGAGACCAGATTCTGGATTTGTTGTGACTGTGGAGCCATAGGGTTTTCTGATGGACTGTGCATGGGACATGAAAAAAAAGAAGTGAAAGGGCCGGGGAGATAGCTCAGTGGAATAAGTGCTTCCCTGGCAAGCACAAGGGCCTGAGTTCAATCCCCAGTCCCGCAAAAAAAAAAAAGAAGAAGAAGTGAGGATAACTCAGGCTCTTGCCCTGAATGGCTATTATGATAAGGCTCCAGAGTTGCAGAAGACTCTGGGAGAAGGAGGTTTGAGAAGGGAAGATAGGAATTTAAATTCAGACATCTTTGAGAAGCCCATTAGTTATCTGACTTGAGAAGCTAAATAGCAGCTTGATATCAAGTGTGGAGAAAGTGTGGGGAGCTGGCGATGACTGGAGGGCTGTCAATGTAGAAATGATGCTGGAAGCCAGAAAGCTGGGTGAAGTAACCAAAGGATGTGGATATGGATGTGGATGTGGATGTGGATATGGAAGGTGGGTACCGGAGCCAGGAGATGAAATACAAGGAAGCAGATAGGAAAGGGTCACAAACAGAAGAGTGTCCGGAGGCTGCATGGAGACAGTATTTTATGGAGGAGGGAGATCAACTATGTCTAATGCTGGTTGATAGGGCAACAGCACTGACCTAAAAATGAAGTCTTAAGCTTAGCAACTTAGTGACATGGAAATCATTGGTGACTCTGAAAAAAAAAACAAAAAACAGCTGTAGAAGAATGGAGGGGGTGTGCTTGATGAGAAAGAATATCAGAGAATGGGAGATAGGAGGGAAGTAGAGACTTCTTGTTTTGTTTTACAAAGATGGTGATTAGAGATCAAGAATCTGCCTTGTTTTCAAATGGGTGAAATCAGCATATTGTTTATAAGCTGCCATACCATTTTCCATGTTATAATGTACTTGCAATAGCCTAGGCGTCTTATGTGGAGTGCGTAATTGCATTCTCATGACAACTCCATGAGTTCTATTGTCCTCATTCTACAGAAGATGAAACTGCAGCATTAGAGAAACCAGTTAGTTTGCCCAAGGACATGCAGCTCATAGGGCAGTGTGAAATCTGAATGCCAGTCAGTCAGACCTGAACACTAAGCCCCACCCCTGGACCCCTCAATGCCAAGGGCTGCCCAAATCGCCAGGCTCCCCAGATTGAGACCAAGGTTAAGGCTGGAGGCAGAGCAAGTCCTGGGGAAGCCACACTGTTGTGGTTGGGCTAGAAAAGGCCTAGGGTACATGTAGAATGTAGGAAAAGAACACCAGGCAACACTTATTTAATCTCCTGCAAGTGCTTGTAAAATGAAACCCATACATTCTGAGATCAGTATAGATTCCACTTACATTGGTTTATGGAACAGTTCTGAGTTATTCAAAAGAAAGCTTCATGAGGCCCCTTCTGTGTCTTCCCTGCTCCTATTGCTCAGGGATGTGACTCTTGGTTCTATCAGGGTTGAGAAAGCTATGCCTCTAAGACTCTAAATTGTACAGCAATATGAGAACATGAGGAAACAAATCAAGAGGCCAAGCAAGCTGGGTATATGGCACGCACCACAACCCCAGCTAACTGGAGGCTAAGGCAGGACACCACAAGTTTGAAGCTATCCTGGGGAACTTAATGAGACCCTGCCTCAAAATTTAATAAAAGGGCTGCAGACATGGCTCTGTGGTAGAAAGCTTTCTTAGTATGGGAGGCCCTGGGTTCAGCCTTCAGTAACCCCCATGCCCCAAAAAGCCAAAGAGCCAAGCAAGAATTGCTAACCAATGACAATGCCACCAAGTACTTTTGGTATTAGGCAGTGTATTCTCAAGGTACATGAGACACAGGCTTTGCTTTCATAGACCTCACCTAGCTTGCTATATATGTAAGTACACATAATAGTAGACAGAGGTTGGCAGAGGGAGAAAAAAAAGAATGAAAGAGCAAGAAAGAGCCTGAGAAGAAAGATAAATGCACAAGGCCATCTATGAGTAACTGCTGGTGGACTGGCATAGGCTCAAACCAAGGAGCAGAATGCAGAGGAAGGGCAGATTCATGTGGGAGGGCTGGTGGGTTAATGCAAGAGATGCAGCAGAGCAGAAGAAAGGGCTAGTAGAGATTCGCAAAGGGAGGGAAGCAAGAACAAAAGCTCAGAGACATAAAAACTAAAACATAAGGGCCTCACAGATGAGAGGATGAAATACAGATTAATGGAGGAGTAACTGGATGGAAAGACACATTAAGACATTTGACAATAACGTGGAGGAATAGGAACTTCCTGAGACTTCACTGGAAAACAACACAATAAAAAAGATGGCTTTTTGGTTGTTTTGTAAATGAATCTGGCAGCCACAGACAGCACAGCCCTAGGAAGGGGGCATTAGAATCCTAAAGGTCATGCAGGGCTGTGCTCAGGAAACACAAAGGAAGGAATGTGGGATATTTCACAGCAAAAGATATTGCTAGTGTCTGGATGAAATACCCTGCTAGGCAGGGTATCTCACATGTGCTTCTTCTTCCACCAGTATGGTTGCAGGACAGCACCTGGCCAGTTCTGCTTTACTCGTGTGGGTGCCTGACAGTGCCAGTTTGCATACTGATATTTAAACCAAACATATGACTAGATATTTAAACAAATTATTACCGTGGCTCTTCACACCTACTTAAAGACTGAGTCACATTTTCATATAGCGAGTTGGCCCAAACTAGACTAGAACTCTATCTAGTCGGCCCTTGGAGGCCCTCTGGCTTCACAAAGCCAACAGAGAAGAAATAAGGTTAATATTTTTGCCATCAGAGACCTGTGTCCAGTTTTTACTACTGGCTAACATGGTGAGCACTGAGCACAGGCTTGGTGAACCTTGCCCCTGCTAGAACTTCCTTAGATATTACTAAGGCTTTATGTATATTTTGGAAAACAGCAGCAGAGTATTTGCATTTAGAAGCACAAAACTGGGCCTCTAAAATTCCCTGGTATGAAGGATAACCTACAGTGCTGCTCTGTTTAGGGACTAATGGGAGATCAACTGACTGACTTGGCTGGCCTCCCTTTAAGGACAAAACTGTAATCTTATCTCAGAAAATTCCTTGCTGGCTGTGGTCTTGGTTGTGTTGACCTTATTTCTGAAGTGTTTGGTATGGGTCAAACTCCTGTCCTCAGAACCTGGGGATAAACATCTCCAGGAGCATGGAAGTAGGAGCGGGGCCTCTCAGCTATCTTGCTGCGATAAAAGGCAGTGGCTTTTCATTCCCCAGGCCTCTGGAATACACCAAGCTCTGTAGATTCCAAGTGTAAGATTTATAGGCAGTTATTTATAGGCAGTTACTGTGACAGAAGAACTAGAGGCCCAGCCACATTAACTGTGTTTGCTGTCACTAGGTGAGTGATGACTGAGTTTTCTGTTCCAAGGCAGATCTTAGCCTGGATTTGAGATTCACAAATGCAAACTTGGAATGACCGCTCCTCTTCCTTCGTTGTTATCTGGTCTTACTTTTATGTGTTCTGCATAAATTAATGGC